ACGCAGGTTGATTCCACATCTTGGCTGTTGTGAATAGGGCTACAGTAAACAAGGGAGTGCAGATATCTCTTGGACAGACTGATTGCCTTTCCTGGATGTATACCCCGTCGTGGGACTGCTGGATCATATGATGTTCCTATATTTAATTCTTTGAGGAACCTCCATGCTGTTTTCCGTAGTGACTGTTCTGATTTCCATTCCCACCCACACTATATGAGAGTTCCTCTTTCACCACATCCCTGCCAGCATTTGTTGTTTCTCTCTCTCTCTCTCTCTCTAAATGGTGCTGGAGATTGAACCCAGGGCCTTGTGCATATGAGGCAAGCACTCTACTAACTGAGCCATATCCCCAGCCCTCTATTTTTGATGGTAGCCATTCTAACTTGGGTGAGATAATATCTCATTGTGGTTAAAAATATTTTTGATCCTCTTAACAGCTATGAGAGGTAGGGCAGCAATTTCAGCATGTCCATGAAATAGATGAGGTCATTCCTCAGAGAGGCTCACAGAGGTGGAGTGGCCTTCCATTTGAATATAGGTCTTTCTGCTCCTGATTCTATACACCTCTGATAACTGGGAGTTGCCTTGGGGAGCAGAGGTCAAAGGGACACAAAACTGGCAGGTTTGGTAGGAAAGTGAAAGGGGTGAGGGAACAGTTTCTGGAACAGGGGAGTTGGGTCATCTGTCAGAGCTTGACCAAAGGGGAGCATGAGTCCCCAGAGCCTTGAAGGTCTTGGCAGGGAAAAGGGTGGCCTGAGCTCTGAGGAGTCAGAGGCTGAGTTCTGGTTGGGCCTGTTCAGAAGCTGAAGCCAGAGCTGGAAGAGCTGGAGGGATCTCTTCTCTAGGCTCTGTCTGCCCTCTGGGCTCTGTGAACCTCTCAGCTCTGCTGCCTCTGGCGTGCAGGGTCTCTAGTGAGTCTGTCAGCCCTGACCTAGTCACGGGGTTAACAACTGTGCTTCTCATGTGACCTTGGATGAGTCAAGAGGGAAAGCAGGGGGGCTGGGGTTGTGGCTCAGTGGTAGAACGCTTTGCTTTGCATGTGCGAGGCACTGGGTTCGTTCTCCAGCACCACCACATAAAAATAACTAAATAAACAAAATAAAGGTCTCGTGTCCATCTACGACTAAAAGTATTTAAGGGGGGGGGGGGAAGCAGTTGCCAAGGGCTTTCTGGGGGGATTCCCAGGATGCAGGCAGTTCAAGGCTCTAGGGGACAAAGGCCTTCGGGTGTTCTGGAGGCTGGGCCTCCACAGGACTCAACTGTGAAGCCACCTTCTTGCCTGGATCGTGGGCCACTTAAAATAACCTCAGACCTAACACTATTTTTCTCCTGCTGAGTGGCTTCAGTGTGAGAGGAGCACAAAGGCCATTGGTGGTGGGGAAAGGCCTGGTTCAGTGCCAAGCAGCACAACCACAGCAGGAACCCAGGCCTTAGGCAGACTGGCCACCATTTCCTGAGACCTAGTACCTGCTCTGGGCACTTTGTTTATTTATATACTTACTTAGATTTTGAAATCTATTTTTGGTACAATTATATACATATGCTATAAAATAAAAGATAGAACTAGACCAGGAGTTATTAATCTGGGGTTTATGGGACCTTATAAGATCCAAGGGTAGAACTTGAAAAGTCTGAAAATTTGGAAGAGAAAAAATGTATATTTAGTTTCACTAAATTCTACTTGAATTTCATCATTCTCTTTGATGATGAGTATAGGCAATTAATCATAGTAGCAAGGACCTGAGATGGTGTCATAAAAGAATCATAGATATTTTTAATTTGTATTACAGCTTTCACAGATATTTCAAAATATGGTTCTATTCATCACTATTTCAAAATTACAGCAGTTATTAAACCTTTTGTTTGATCTTGATGTTTCATGTATTAATTATAAATTATTACCTATTTCTACACAAATAATAATAACAGATTATTATTTATTATTATTATTATTTATTATTATCATTATTATTATTTTGCATTGGAGATTGAACCCAGGGGAGCTTTGAACCCAGGGCACTCAACCATTGAGCCACATCCCCAGTCCTTTTTATTTTATTTTATTCTTTGGTGGTACTGGGGATTGAATGTAGGACCTCATGAATATTAGGCAAGCACCACCTTCCTTTTTATTTATTTATTTTTAAGCCAAAGTCTGGCAAACATGCCCAGGCTGGCCTTGAACTTGCAATCCTAAATTGCTGGGATTATAGGTGTGTGCCACCACACCTGGTTTACATTTAAAAAAAAAAAAATATATATATATATATATATATATATATATATATAAAAATGATTTGTTTTGCTGGGTGGGTGGAAAATGCCTGTTATTCCTGAGACTCCAGAGGCTGAGGCATGAAGATCACAAGTTTAAGGTTAGTCTGGGCAACTTAGAGACCTTAGCAACCTAGCAAGACCCTCTTGACAAAGTAAAAAGTAAAAACCAAAATGGGATAAGGATGTGGTTTAGTGAGAGAGAGTCCCTGGGTCAATTTCCAGTATAAAAAACAAAATGTCTGATGACTATTTTTGATATAATTGATTTTCTTTATAAGCCTGTTGCTATGATTTGAATGTCCCCCTGAAAATTAACATTGAAATTTAATTGCCACTGTGACTGTATTTAGAGGTGGGATCTTTAAAAGGTAAGAAAAGGTCTTTGGGGGGGCTGGGATGTGGCTCAAGCGGTAGCGCGCTCGCCTGGCATGCGTGCGGCCCGGGTTCGATCCTCAGCACCACATACAAACAAAGATGTTGTGTCCGCCAAATACTAAAAAATAAATATTAAAAAAAAAATTCTCTCTCTCTCTACCTCTATCTCTCTCACTCTCTCTTTAAAAAAAAAAAAAAAAGAAAAGAAAAGGTCTTTGGGTACCTCCCTCATGAATGGATCAAGGCCTTTATTATAGGAGTAGGTTAGTTATGGGATGGGGAGAATAGCACCCTTTCTGTTTGTCTCTTTCTGAATCTCTCTCCTGAGAGATCACCATGTGATACTTCTGCCATGTTATGGTCCTCGCCAGATATTGCCTATCGGTCTTGGACTTCCCAACCTTCAGAACTGTGAGCCAGATAGTTTTCCCAGCTTATAGAATTCTGTTTCAGCAGAAACAAAACAAAAAACAGACTGAGATCTGCTGCGCAACCAGCACGCTAGCTTCATACTAGAGGTTCTAAACTAGTGAGATCAAAATAAAGACACATAAACTCAATTTACCTTTTTCTTGCCCAGCTAAGAGACGGCCCTTGCTGGCTCCTGCCTCGAGCCACCTGATGTGGTAACGAGGTTTACACAAGAGACCAGCAGGAGAGAGGAAGAGCACGCCAGAGAGTGGGCTTTTATTGGGGAACAAAAAATTCAGGGGAAAATTCCATCCAATGAAGGTCGAGGGAGACAGCATTCCAAGATCAGGGTCAGTGATTGGTTTCAGGGTCAATGGCCAGTCATACCCCCACACGGACAGGCTCTCGCACCTAAAAAGGGTGGGGAAAAGCTCTGACATAGCTGGCCTGAGCGCCTCACACCCAGTCAGGGAGGTACCCAATCACGTGTGAGAATGGCTTCCCACACTGAGACACTTATTTTATTTTTATTTTGCACACTTCAGAACATTTTTCTGAGAAGGGATCCACAGGCTTCACTAGATGACAGAGGGGCCCAGGGACACATAGGAAGGTTAAGAACTACTGACATGATGCCGGGCACAGTGGCACATGCCTGTAATCCCAGCGGCATAGGAGGCTGAGGCAGGAGGATCTTGAGTTCAGAGTCAGCCTCAGCAACTAAATGAGGCCCTAAGCAACTCAGTGAAACCCTGTCTCTAAATAAAAACACCAAAAAGGACTGGGAATGTGGCTCAGTGGTTGAGTGTCCTGGGTTCAATTTCTGGTACCTGCTCCCTCAAAAGAAAAAAAAAAAAAAAGAAAAGAAAAAAGAACTACTGATCTAGACCTCCTCTGCAGAATTCTGAGAGATACTCACATTCAAATGAATCCTATTTTTAAAGGCCATTTTTCTTTCTTTCTTTTAAAAAAAAAAAAAAATATATATATATATATATATATATATATATGTTGTAGTTGAACACAATACCTTTATTTTATCTATTTATTTTTATGTGGTGCTAAGGATCAAACCCAGGGCCTCACATCTGCTAGGCAAACGCTCTTCCTCTGAGCCACAACCCCAGCCCTTAAAGGGCATTTTCTAGTCATATCAGAAAGTCGAATGCTGATCTGGTTAGGTCACTAATCAGGTGAAATCCTACTTCGCACATTACTGCGCCGTGAGCAACACCCAACTCCGCAGTCAAAGGCTAAGAGACTATTATGGAGCTTCCTTTCCTGCAGGCATTGACATTGCTTAACTTCACTTAAAAACCACCTCCAGTCCTCCGCATGTTTTTCTTCGTACACATGTATAATCACCATAATTAAACAATGTGCTAAGAAGAGCAGTGAAAACAAACTGCCATCTTTTCAGCAGAAGAGAGGCTGGTGGTGGAGGGTTGTGGGGGAGAGGACACGGGACAACTGTGTTGCTTCAGTGCAGCCCTTACATTCCTGCATGCAGCTCCAGGGACCCCACAAAGACATGAGGTTGGACAGCAGGACACCCAGGGAACATCCATGGTCTGTTCTCTCCGGCAGCTACTTCTCCCCGCCTGCCCTGAGTCTGCTTCCCTGCTATCCAGGTGTGCTCTGGGAGAAAGGTGGTCAGAGAGGGGCGGGGGCGGGGGTAGTGGCTGGTGGCACTTGCTCAGTCTCAGTCACATCAGCTATAAGATGGGGATAATGATTTATGCTCTTGTTGGCATGGACTAAATGATGTGTTGAATGTGGAAAATTTCACGGTTTGAGGTCCAGTGATTGTTAACTCACTCACACTTAACCATGGACAACCGAGAAAGCTTGTCCTTGGGCTTTGTGTTCCATTGGAGTTCAAGTTTTGGGTGAAGGGCCGACCCTCTTTTCCAGTGGTGAGCTCTCACTTCCTGGGGATGGGAGAAATAGCACAGTTCAGCCAGACAGTCCGGGAGCAGGTCCTGGCTCTTCTGTGCCTGTATCTGGCCTCAGGCAAGATGGTTCCCTTCTTTAAGACTGAGCTTATCATCTGTTAAGAGGGAATAACAGACATACTCGAGTATTGTGAAGATCAAATAAAATCCTACACAAGAGCATTTGACTCAAAACTTTGTGGGAAACCCCTCAAATGCTTATTGATGAATATGATTGTGATCTTTCAGGACTCAAATCCTACTGATTGAGTGAATAGGCCAAGATTAATTATGGCAGGCTGGGCAGCCCCGAGAGCTAGTGTTATAAGGGGGCCGAAGGAAGGTGGCCTTCCACTGCAGAGCTTCCTACTGACAGGGAAGATGCTGCCCTGGAAGCTTGCCCAGTGTCAAGCCTTGGAGTGAGAGTGCTTGACCTCCCAATCGCCTGTCCCTCTGGGGCTGACCCAGGCTGCCCGGTCAGCAGGCCAGGACCTGGCTGGGTTCTGCATGCTCTCTCAGTCCCTTGGGCCCGGAGGCAGCCAGCATCCAGGCTCCATGCTTGGCTTCGTGAAACTGCTCCTTTCATCAGGCTGGGCGGCCCATGAGGGAGGGCCCAGGAGTTAGCCGCCTCCTCAGGGAGGCCCAGAGCCTCCCTCCTGCCCATGGCTCCTCAGACAGTGAGCAAGGCTGAAACTGACTGACGGGGAATAGGAACCGGACTCAAAACGAGGAGCTAAAACTGAGAGAGGAAGGGGCACCCATGCAGGGCAGGCCAAGTGGATACTTCTGCTCTCTTCAGAGCTGACTCCAGGTGTCTGGGGCAGTGTTTCACACTTCTGAGGCCCCACAGGCTCACCCTTCATGCTTCTGCTCCCTTCCATTCCAAAACCCAGCAGCTGGGCTCTGGCTCTCTTTCTCCCATCTTCCCAAGGCTGAGGTTACCAGCGATGACCTGCCCCCTCCACACACGGTCAGAAGGGCTAGACAGGAGGGGTCACACTCAGGACTGACTTGTGTTTGCCAACCATGGTGGCCAAACAGAGGCTCATATGTACTGCCTCTGACCAGGAGGGTTTCAAGCACCATTTTGGAAGCTTTAGCCAGTCATGTGGCACTTTCTGGAATTTTGCTCCCTGAATGATTACCCATTTAATATTTTCCTTTACATCGATTCCCTTTAAAATTTAGCCTAGTTCTGAGCTATGCGATCTGTGAAATCATGAGTTTGATGAGATGATTGATTTTTCCTGATTTACATTTGGATCAGTGTGTTTGTTGTTCACCTATAAACACACCTGGTGGACCGTGTTTCTATTTATTTATTTTAAATATACTTATTTATTTGTTTTTATGCAGTGCTGAGGATTGAACCCAATGCCTCACCCATGTGAGTCAAGAGCTCTACCACTGAGCCCCAGCCCCAGCCTGATTTATTTTTTTCTGTTTGTTTTTTCAGTACTGGGGATTGAACCCAGGGGCTCTCTGCCACTGAGCTACATCTCTAGCCATTTTTTTAATTTTAAAATTTGAGACAGGGTCTCATTAAGTTGCTGAGGCTGGCCTTGAACTTGATCCTCCTGCTTTAGCTTCCGGAGTTGCTGAAATGACAGGTGTGTGCCTGGCTGGACCATGTTTTTAAATTCATATTGTGGTCTATGTTTTGGGAAACTAGGGGAGAGACAAAGATTGTGGGGGGTCATACCACATAGGTTCCTCTATTTTTTAGTTGTGTGACCTCTCTGGGCTTCCGGTTCCTCATCTATTAAACGGGATCCTCTCTCCTAGAGCTGTGTGGGAATAAAGTGATGCTGAGCGTGCATCCTGGTGGCTTTCCCCTTGCTCATGGACCCTGTCTCGGATCCCTGCAGAATAACTTGGCCTCTTCCTAACCACAGGGAGCTACTGCATTCCACAGTATGCTACTCAAGAGGCATGGCAGGGAGGAGGGAGCGCTCCTTGGCTATCTGTCCTGGGACCTGCAGAGTCCAAGAGAAAGTGCCTCCTGGTGTTCACCCTAAGGTCCCCATTGTAATTTCAGCTCCTGTTCTTGTGCTGTATCCTCCGTGGGCATGGAACTGACCAGAGACCCTGGGTTCAATCCTGGCACTGACTTGTCTCACTGGGTGTCTTCCAACAAGTCACTGCCCTTCTCTGAGCATGGACTGTTTTTTACCTGTAAAATGAAGGGAAGTTTCATGAATTCAGCCCTCTTCCTACTTTTTTTTTTCTTCCGGTACTGGAGATTGAACGCAGGAGTGCTCTACCACTGAACTACATCTCCAGCCGTTTTTATTTTTTATTTTAAGACAGGGTCTCACTAAATTGCAGAGGTCGATATCAAACTTGCAATCCTCATACTTCAGCCTCCTTAGCAGAGACGGATGGGAGGGGAGGGGCTCTTGCCTTTTCCTATTGAGCAATTAATTTCTGTTTCTCTTCTGGTTGAGGATGTGGGAACTGGAAAGGAGGGATGGGGGCGGAGAGGAAGTTGCTGATGAGGGTGGAGACTGGTTGGCACTATGCCTTTCTCCGTTGGAAACTCCCTCCATGTCCCCTTCTCCACATGATTGTGAGGAAGGGGCTAGGCATTTCCAAGGACAGTCTGGTTGGGTGATTCATCTGTTGTCTCCTGTTGGAGGGTGCACTCTAGATACTAATCTGTGTGCATGTGTGTGTGTGTATGAGAGAGACAGAGAATCTGCTCTAATCTCCCCTCCTGCTTTTTTAAAAAATTTTGTTTGTAGTTGTAGATGGACAGCATGTCTTTATTTTACTTGTTTATTTTTATGTGGTGCTGAGGATTGAACTCAGTGCCTCATATGTGCAAGGCAAGCACTCTGCCACTGAGCTACAGCCCCAGCCCTCCTCTCCTGCTTTTGCAAAAAGGGAAATGGAGTCCCAGAGAGGTATGGTGACTGTTTAGGCTTTGCAGTGACTTGGTAGCCCAGAGGGAAAGACCTTGAAGTCCCCTCCCATCACTGCTCAGGGGAGACATCTTCCCTGTTCTGTGTCCCCCTCTCTTCAGCCCCATGGACTAGGAGATCTGGGACTAATATTAAAAAATGCTCTAACTGATTCTTAACAGGAAGTGTGGGTTTTTCATTCTGAGTTGACAACCACAGCAGTCCTGCACACACACACACACCAAATTTATGCACAGCCACATACACACCCACAGAGTCACCTGCACATGAAAGGGAACACACCTGTGCACTCTCCCTGGGCCAGGAGATGCCCGGTCAGCTCTTACCTGTATCTTCTGACTTGCCTGACATTTCATAGTTGAGGGTGAATTGAAGGGGAGAAGCTAAGACCACAAGACTGGACAGATGTCTCCTGGATGGCCATGCCTCAGGGGTTCAATTAGGCAGCAAAAACTCCCAGACCCCAGACTGGCCAAGGTTCATCAGTCTTGGGTCTGAAAAGGCTGCTCACATTCAAGCAGGGCAGACTGACAGGGAAGTCACTCTTTTGTCATTGGGGCCTGGAGAGGGCCACTCAGGGTGGCACAGAAGGAAAACTGACACTTGTATACCACTCTGTACCAGGCACTGTACCAGGTTCCTCCCCACAGGCACTTCATTCCATTCTCACAACAGGGTGGCAAGTGAGACTAATGTCCCACTTGGCAGCTGAAGAAATGGACCTTGGAGGGATTCACTGACCTGCCCACAAAGCTCAGCAGGCAAATGGCCAAGCCTGATCTTGAACTGAAGTCTATTTGACCTGGAGCCCCAGGTCCTGGTCCCACAGGCACGCCTTTCTTGATGCCAAAGTAGATGATGTGAGCAGCAGTACCTCACACACGTACAAAATGCCACAGGACCTCTCTCACAGGCAAAATATAGGAAGCACAATTCCTGGGAGCCTCAGTGGGAGTGAGGGAAACTTCATGAATGAGTTGGCATTTGAAGCTGCTTCAAGAATGAATGAGTTTCTCTCCCACAGCCCAAGCGGAGGTCGGCCCGCCTGTCGGCTAAGCCTGCTCCTGCCAAGGCGGACGCCAAGCCTCGGAAGGCGGCGGGCAAGGTGGGTGCGGCGCCTGCGCGGTGGGCCTCCGGTCGATGGTGGGGCTGCGCGTGGATCTTCGCGCGGGATAAGGGGAGTGGCGCGTCCCATTAAGGCCGCCAGCACTTAGGAAGTCTGAGCTGGAGGAGCGTTGGCTTCAGGTTCAGAGGAAAGCTGGGCGGTGCGATGCAAACAGTTTTACCCCCAGTGGGTTTGGGACAGCAGATGTAATCTTTCCCCCCCTTCTCAAGATTCTTCAAACACCTAAATGAAAAAGATAAAATTGATCCTTTTATAGCTACTCATTAAAAGATATCAAGGGATTAACTGTAGCAGAATAGTCAACATGACCATACAACATGGTGCTTTTTCCAGGATAAATCATCAGACAAAAAAGTTCAAAAAGGGAAAAGGGGAGCAAAGGGAAAACAGGCTGAAGTGGCTAACCAGGAAACTAAAGAAGATTTACCTGCAGAAAATGGAGAAACGAAAAATGAGGAGAGTCCAGCTTCTGATGAAGCAGAAGAGAAAGAAGCCAAGTCTGATTAATCATACACCATGTCTTTTCAGTGGTCCCGTCTCCCTTCTTGTACAATCCAGAGGAATATTTTTATCAACTATTTTGTAAATGCAAGTTTTTTAGTAGCTCTAGAAACATTTTTAAAAAGGAGGGAATCCCACCTCATCCCATTTTTTAAGTGTAAATGATTTTTTTTTAGAAGTGAAATCATTTGCTGGTTGTTTATTTTTGGGTACAACCAGAAAATAGTGGGATATTGAATTATGGGAGGCTTGGACTGTCTTTGGTATCAGCTTAACATTCCATAGGTGGGGGGTTAGTTTTATATCCTACAATACAAAGCATATTAAATGGCAGTTTGGAGTCACAGTGTTGCATTTAATGTCTTGAATATTTTAAATTACTTCTATTCCTGTGTTTTTTAGTAGAATTGTTTCCTAAAGAAGACCACTACTGGATCATTGCTGTCAGAATCGTATGTACTCTGTAACATCTTTGGTTGTGGAAGTCTAGTTTTCCTAATATTTTTAATGTGCTGTGAAAGATGAAAAATTTGAGTATGTTGTGTGTGACAAAGTTTTGAATTAGTGGGACCTAAGTAATAACATTCAAAGATACTGGTACTTGATATTCTATTAAGGAAAAAATGCCTCCAAATTAAAAGCTGGAAAGTCACTGGAATAACTGAAAAAGAATCACAGTATAAAGCTTTTTAGATTTCCGGTACGTGTGTTAAGAATTGTGTACAAAGTGAAATGTCTGTGTACTGATTCTCAATACAGCCAATAAAATCTCAAACACAAAAAAAAAAAAAAAAAAAAAGAATGAATGAAGTACACCCGTAATCTCAGCGACTCCTGAGGCTGAGTTAGGAGGATCACAAGTTAGAGGCCAGTCTCAGCAACTTAGGCAACTGGTCTCAAAATAAAAAATAGAAAGGGCTGGGGATGTAGCTTAGTGGTAAATACCCTTAGGTTCAATCTCCAGTACCTAAGGAGGGGGGAGTGAATGGAGCCAGACACTGGGTATGGTGGTACGTGCCTACTAAAGTCCCAGTGACTCAGGAGGCTAAGGCAGAAGTTTGAGGCCTGCCTCAGCAATTAGCAAGACTCTGGCTCAATAAAAAATAAAAAGGGCTGGGGATGTGGCTCAGTGGTAGAGCACCCCTGGGTTCATCCCTGCCAGTATCATACACACATAGAATTAATGAGATTTTACTAGACAGGAAAGAGTATCGGGAACAGCATGAGCAAAGACAACACGAGACAGGGCGAAGGGAGGCAGGCGAGGCGGATAGAACAGTGGGTGACCAGAGCTCTGGAAGGTCTACAGGGATGGTGTGCAGGCCAGAGGGGTTGGCAGAGCCTTAGATGTCAGGGTGTCCTGGAAGGTGCTGATGGAGGGGTATGACTCCGTCAGTTCTGAGTTCCAGAGGCCACTTTGACTCCAGGATGAAGGACGGCAGTGAGTAATTCAAGGAAGAGCTGTCACAGGTATCCTTGTGTCCAGGTGGAGGCCATGGGGCTAGAAGCAGGCCTGCAGTTGTGTGAAGGAGGGGAGGTGGAGCAAAGAGATGGTAGAGAGTGCGCAGGGCCCTTGAGGGATTCAGGTTTCGGGTAGGGATGCTTATGCAGCCAGTAGGCAGGGCCTCTGAGACAGCCAGTGCCCACTCTACCCCAGCCTAGGCCACTGGGCTCAGTGGGCTTAGGCTGGAAGGCCCCAGAGGAAATCTCAACCCCAGCTCAGATTCCCTGCCATTCCCAGCATCTGCCCATCCACCCTCCCTCTTGCGGCCAAGGCAGGACTTGATCTTTCTCCACTAGCTACGGAGCTGGGGGACAGCATAGGCTGCCACCAGTGAGCACAGATGCAGTATGCACCAGCAGCGAATGAGGGACCCTGCTGCCTCTGGAGGTCACAGGTGCCTGTTGTTCCCGCCTCTACTGACTGTGACCCCTGTGATCAGGGCTCCAACATGGAGTCTGGAGTGGTGGGACGACTGGCCATGCCTGATCAGTGCCCAGCCTTAGCTGCAAGGGAGGCAGGAAGGTGGCTGGTTCTGGCATAGTTCGTCTAAGTAGTGGAAGCTGGGTTCTTCCTCATGAGTGGAGAATTCCCCACACAGAGGAGGAAGTTCCAGACTTTGGGTGGACAACATGAAGGACGAATGTCTACTTATGGAGATGTTGTTGATAAATGATATAATCCATGTAAATATGCTTAGCAAAACATCTAGTATAAGGAAAATACTCAATAAATGTTTTCTATTACCTGTGTGCTCATAAGGGCTGGGGGTGGGCCTGTGTTTTGTTCTCTGCGTATCCCGAGGGCCTGTCATGGTACCTGGCGCACACTAGGAGCTTGACAAATGTTGGCCTGTGAGTATCTTGCCCTTCCCAGGGTCTGAGCTCTGCCCAGCCTTCCTCTCCTCTCCTTTTTCTTTGTTGCCCAGGCTGTGGCCATGGCATTTTCCAAGGAGGAGGCAAGTGCTGATACCAGAAAGAGGAGGAGGAGCGAGGGGCCCGAAGCTCCGCTCCAACACCAGCTCACTGTGACCTTAGGTAAGTCGCCTCTACTCTCTTGGCCTGAGTTTCTCCATCTGCAAAATGGATACAATAACCTCAGCTACTTCACATGTCTGATGCAAGGGACAAACAGAATGTGTGAAGCAGATTGCAAAGCGGCAAAAAGCCCTTCAGCGCCCACCCCAGGGAGGAAGTCATGCCTGAGCAGTGTTAGGACCCACCCAGAAGATCAGATTTTGAAGAGGGGCTGAGGGGCCAAGGGGAGATATGCAGGGAAACAGCCTTCCTCTTCCCTCAGTGAAAAGGGCTGCGCTCACATATCTGTGAACCAAAGCTATTTTTATGTAGAACAACTGCGATTATGACAGGGCCTCTTCCTGCAGGGGAAGGGTGGGGAGCCGACCTGAGTCATCAGCGGGCTGCTGCTGCTGCTGCTGCTGCTGCTGCGCAAGGCCGTGGGTAGAAATCAGGCCCACCCCCAGAAGTGGCTCCTGGCCTCTGCCTGGGGAATGGGCGGACAGTCTGCTCCAGGAAGGATCAGATCTGTCCTTGGGCCCCGAAACTTGTTTATCATGATTGATCTTCTAATGAGCAGTGAGCTGACCCTCTGAGAACTGGAACAGGACAGAAATGCTGCCTGACACCCCTACTCCCCACTCTGCACAGGGTTGGCTGGCTGGAATTTTGGGGTGCTTATGTTTGGAGGCTTTACTTTTTTTTTTGGGAAATCATCTATCCACCACCCTGCAAGACAGAGATGGTTTGTCTCCAGGTTATTGACAAGGTGCTGGGGCTATGCGAAGAGTCGTGATAGAGTCCCAGGGTCAAAAAAGCCAACAGGGAGAGTGATTCTTCTCTTCACTGGAAGGACAGGGGCAGCCTTCCCAGAGAAGATCAGAGCCAGGCCCTAAACAATGCACAGGATTTGGCTCTCTTGAGGAGTGGACAAAAGGAAGGGCATGTGACATAGAAGGCTTTGGCAGGGGCAAAGGCATGGAGTTGTAGCGGCACCTGGCTTGTGTGAGGTGTGGCCGGGGAGGAACGGGGGGCTGGGCTGGGGTTAGGAGGTCCTGCACGCCAGGCCCAGAGGAGTGTGCCTCTGTATAGGTGCAAGCTGGCCATCCCCCAGGTCATGCAGAGAGGGGAGGGCGGCCCACAGGGCAGGAAGGATGGGGAAGAGAGGTGGAAGGGTGGCATCTCAGGCCCAAAGGAAACCAGGTATGTTTCCTGTGCTGGAGCCTGAGCCTCGCTGAGCTGTCTGCAGGCCCAGCCTTGGTCAGCACCAGCTAACTGCCTGCGCAGGTCGTTAGGGCCTTCTTAATGTTCTTTTTTTTTATGTTGGGGATTGAACTCAGGGATGCTTAACCACTGAGCCACATCCCCAGCCCTTTTAATTTTTTATTTTGAGACAGGGTCTCACTAAGTTGCTTTAGGGCTTTGCTAAATTGCTGAGGCTGGCTTTGAACTTGCAATCCTCCCGCCTCAGCCTCCCAAACTGCTAGGATTACAGGTGTGTTATACCTCTCCCAGCCTTCTTCTCTACCTTCTTGGAGGGCCTCCTCTATGCCAGTACCTTTGCAATCTGTCCCTGCAAGGTGAATATTCTCACCCCACTTCATAGGGATGGAACTGAGGTTTAGGGAACTGCCCCGGGTCACAGAGCCCCTCTGGAGCACCTTTCGGGGTCCTTACCAACATCCTTCAGCAAAATAATCCTCTCTGTGTCCTGCTTTTATTGGTTATTGGGGATAGCAAACAATAACTTCCTTTCTTCCAGGTAAAGGGGACCCTGAGGCCTGCCTCCCAGGCATCCTAGCACAGAGATCCTCAGAGATCATCTCGTCTACTCTACATGTTACAGATGGGGAAACTGAGGACTGAGAAGAAGAGATTTGCTTGGGGTCTTACAAATGGTGCTAGAAGTGATTCGTCAGCCTCTTTTGAGACAGAGTCTCTCAGTGGGACTCTAACCTTGTGGGTTGGAACATAAGGATTGGGGGATGAGCAGTCTGTGGGACAGGCACTAGCTTGGGATTTCTAGGAGGCCAGAGCTGAAACTCAAACCTTTCATCCAGCTCGGAGTGCTTCATTCTACTTAGGAAAAAATGGTCCTTCTCAGGATATTTTACTCCATCTGCCTGAAAAGTGAGTTAATAATTATGCAAATTTTGGTGATTTCGGTGATGGTGAGGGGACTAGAATTGTGCAGTGCACAATAC